TCCATATGTTTGCACGAGGTTAATCTTGGCCGTCCCCTGGGCCTTTTGCCGGTCGGATTTGCAAGGAACAATTGAAACCAACGGTTATAAACAAAAGTATGCGCTGAATGTTTCCTCAAGAACAGAAGACGGATAATTGTTGCGCACTAAGAAATAAACAATTGTTTTATTCATGTTTATGTTTATTTACTGTTATTTGGAAACGAGTTAGTAGATTGTCGTATATGCCATTTGTCTGCATGACCTAATGATTAACGGAATCGGCTGATGAAATATTAGCCACTTTCATGGGGTAACGAATAAGTTACAAGAAGAATAAAAACTTCTCTCAGTGATGTAATACACGGGGAGGGTAGAGTTAATGAGAAATTGATCTGGCGGCCTCCAGCGATGCATTCAGAAGATCTGAACGGTTAAATACATGTGATGGTACACTTACACGGGGCTTTTAGCATTAGTGTTTTAAGAAACGGCTTTAATAAGAAAGTTTTGATGTTACCTTTCTTCCAAGAATTTCCCGAACTGAATATCCGCATGATCTCCCTACACTTTGTGTAAGACGTTTTTTTCTGGAAAAATTTGTTTCTGGTCGATAGTTTATTAAATCCTGAATCTAGTTAGCAGATTTTGTTATTTTCTTCGACAAATTTGCGCATTTCTTCTCTTTTAAGCGTCATCTTTGAAGTCTATGATAGTTTTTAGGCAAAATGCCTGAAAACCCTGAAACGAAGCCTGTCGAAGAGAAGACTCAGGAGAATGAAATCAAGGTGGATCAGGAAATTCTGCGCATGCCCGCCGATGATATCATGGGCAGAACGAGACTTTTGGAGAACGAAATCCGGATTATGCGCAGCGACATTCAGCGTATCCAGCATGAGATGCAGAACTTGCGGGATCGTATCAAAGTATATTTATATCTTAAAATATATTCTTTGATTATTTGTTATTGATTTTAGTTTCAACAGGTAATTTATTCATATTAAAACTTGAAATAACTTGAAAATTAAGGTTTGTTGATCATCATTTGAAACACCACACTGGTATTTCCCAGCGTCTAATTCAGTAGTCTAAGCACTAACTGACACCTTCGTGTAAAGTTTTACTGCGTTTAAACTGCCTGAACCTAGCCAGCGGCGTCGCCGGTTACCGTAGTCACTGACTGCTTCTAGAAGAAACTTTTAGTTAC